GGAAAGAGGAGATACAAGGATTTGGTGATACTTGCTTGGAGCTTGTTAAAGCTCATGTTCAGGCCACTGGGAAACGGCCAAACAAGATTGTCATCTTCCGTGATGGTGTCAGTGATGGTCAGTTCGATATGGTTCTCAACGTGGAGTTGCTTGGTGTGAAGCTCACTTTTGAGAAGAATGGTTACAATCCGAAGATAACTGTGATCGTGGCACAGAAACGTCATCAGACCCGTTTCTTCCCTGCTACAACCAATGATGGAAGTGATAAGGGGAACGTGCCTTCAGGTACGGTGGTCGATACCAAAGTGATTCATCCCTTTGAGTATGATTTCTACCTCTGCAGTCACCATGGAGGCATTGGGACAAGCAAGCCGACACATTACTATACTCTGTGGGATGAACTCGGATTCACTTCGGATCAAATTCAGAAGCTCATCTTCGAGATGTGCTTTACTTTTACTCGTTGCACCAAACCCGTCTCCCTCGTTCCTCCGGTGTATTATGCTGACATGGTCGCGTATAGAGGAAGAATGTACCACGAGGCGAGTTCAAGGGAGAAGCCCATTAGACAGCCACGGGGAGCGTCTTCCTCACTTGCTTCTTCCTTCTCCTCTCTGACTGTGGAGGACAAAGCGATTTTCAAGCTGCACAAAGAGCTTGAGAACGTCATGTTCTTCGTATGAACAAAAGGTTTGGGGTTATTATATGTGTGTTTGGGTCCTTGAGTTGAACTTTAAAATGCTACAGTATTGAATATCTGAACAGTCCCAATAACGCAGTTTTACTCCTTTTTAAGGAGTTTGTGCGTGAATCTAATTGGGTTTTTTTTTTCTTTCTATTGCAGTGTGTTTCTTTGCTTTCTCTTTGTTTTTGGTCGTTGTGTTTGGTATTGTACTTTCTCTTCTGAGCAGAGACTGCTTTATGTCATGGTATTTAATTGGGTTTTTTTCTTTCTTTCTATTGCAGTGTGTTTCTTTGCTTTCTCTTTGTTTTTGGTCGTTGTGTTTGGTATTGTACTTTCTCTTCTGAGCAGAGACTGCTTTATGTCATGGTATTTAATTAAAATCGAGAACCTGTGTTTCGTAATTAGTTCATATTGTGTAATCATCTTTACATTTCAGTTTATAAGTTTTGTCAAAGCTTTAGAAACTCAGAGATGGAGAAAGGCAAGTACATCTTTGTTTGTATCTGAATTTCCTTCACTGATCGACTTTCTAAATTATAACTTTTGCTAGAAAGACAATATCGGTAATGTACTAATGTGTGTGGAGTGTGGTAATGATATTTCGTTTGATCATGCAATGTCTATCACTGATTGGTTCAAAATTATAACTTTTGCTAGAGAGACAATATCTATTTGGTTATGTGTGGTAATGATATTTCGTTTGATCATGCAATGTCTATCACATTGAGGATGAGTCTATGGGGGATATGAATACAAAATAGCACAATGGAGAGACCCTTGTTGCCTTGGATTTTATTCAGTTTATGGGCTCTGCTTTTTTTCTGATATTCCATGGGACCATGAACCACGAGATAGATGTTGACTTCATATAAAAATATAAAATATGATTGAAGGTGGTTTTGGACGATTTCATGTGTTTTATTACTGAAAATTAAAATGGGTTAAACAACATATGATTGATCGGCTGGCTTGCACAAATCTAATTGGGAATTTTGCTAAAAGAGGACTAAAAAACACAACTATTGTCCTATTAGAATAAATTTCATGATTCATGTCCCCTAAGAATAAACTATAATGAAAATCCAATTTAGTCCTTAGTATTTAAATTTTTAAAATTTTCAGAAAGCCAATATATATTTATAGTATGAGAGCATTAACAATGAATAACAATGACTCTGTTGGTAAACTACCTCTATTTTCTCCCTCTAAACCAGGGTTCGAGCCTCTGGGTATGTAAGTATTTTTTTTTTTTTTAAATTCGAAACTCTTGATATTGATTACCGGTTTACAAAACTATTTAAGGTTTTTATAGGAATTTTGTACGAAATTTGACAATGCAAATCATAGGGTTCATCAATCGTTAACATTGTAACTTGAATCAGAGAGCAATACAATATCATTTTGGTTTGAAACAGTGACAAAAAACCATACCCTAAACTCCTATCTCGTATTTGAATCTTTGTACTTTGTTAGAAAGAAATACTATTTTATAATTTTGCAGATTTTAAAGTTAATAAAATAATAAAATGTAAATGTTATATAGTAATCATCTTTTAAAAGAACAAAAATCATATTACAAAAATCTTGGTAAATTCATACCTAAACAATAATGAAACCCTAAACCTTGTCTGAGTAAAGAAAAATTAAAAAACCTTGTTACTCCTGGGATTCGAACCCACTACCTAATGGATCTTTTTCCATATTGTATTCCACTGACCTAAAGCGAACCGTTGTTTTGTGTGGATGAAAAAATATTTATTATTCCCCTCCTCTATCCTAATTTGAGAGTTACTTACGTATATCATCTACCCTAATTTGGCCACTTTTCCTCATCGTCTTTCTTTCTTCTTTCGAAAAATATGGCGAACATGAACAACATTGAAAGAATCCCTCGCAGATGCTGGTGTGGGAGGGGGATTGTCACTTACGTTTCAAAAACAGATGAGAATCCATACCGACGGTTCTTCAGATGTGAGATTGCTTTACAAGTAAATGTCATATATAAATACTTATCAATTCTTTTATGTTGAGACTTAATTTGTTTTCTGTTCCGAATCAGAGAAAAAAAGAGCAACATCTTTTTAAGTGGGTGGATGAGTCTCTGTATGAAGAGATTCAAAAGATGGATGACCATCAAGCGTTCATGGCAGAAGAAATTGAAGATCTGCATGTTTCGTTGAAGATGGTGGAAGAAGAAGTTATGAAGCATAAAGCCTCTCGAGATGTTGGTTGTGTAGGATCCATTCTCAGTATTTTATGTCTCTGTTCCAAATTTGATTGATATTTTGTAATGTTTTTCTATTTCTATCTACATTGAATAAGAACAAGTAATGGATTTCTAGTGTTATTGACATGTTTCAAAGACATCTAAATTCAATATAAATCAAAAACACTGCTAAAATCAACATAAAACGGATCATGAATATGAAAGATAACTTGCAGAAAAACAAAAAACAGAGGTTTATGCATAAAAAGCATTCACAAAACAGAGGTTTAAATGAAAGAAAAGAGATCCACGCTAAAGGTAAAATATATTAAAAAAGGAAATAAAAATATTTAGAGAATATTTACTTTCAGATTTTGCTAGATTTTCGGATGGTGGCTCATAAACCGTTGGTAAAAGATACATTCTACTAAATTTTCCATTAGTTTAACCAGTGGAAACGTAATCCCACGGGCCTAGACAAAACAATAAAATTAAGAAGATATGTTCTGCCAAGGTAGACGCATGAGTCTTTATTATATGTTATGTTCTAATAAAACAGCATAACAAAGAAGGAATGTCAGTTATCATATTCTTCAATTGTAGATGTATATGTTTTTGGTGTATTACGCATTCTAAGCCCTTTAGATGGATTAGTTGTTAGTAGATTGTACACTCTAAACAACCGTAGTTGGTAGATCTGATTTACTACCCGATTTATCCAATTTTTGAAATTGTTATTCCAAACATTTTTTGAATCTAAAAATATTTTTCATATATTCACATGCTACTCTATTTCATATTGTATATTTTTTCTCAATTTTTTACCTTGTAAATTTTTTACTATGAATTTTTATATACAAAAGGGTAGTGAAGATCCAAAAGTGCCAAAATTTGATTTTACTCTAAGGGGACAATAGTTGTGTTTTTCGGTCCCCTTTTGGCAAATTTCCCAATCTAAGTTACTATATACTACATCGAAATTTCATCATTGATGTACATTAACATTTTCTTCTTCTTCAACGTGTAATATTTTCAGTAAGATTTCGTCATATGCTTTTTTGTATGATAAAAATGTCACTTGCCGTTTAACACTACTCCACAATGGAAATCAATTTATCAGCTAATAAAGGATCATCTTCTTTCTTGTATGTTTTGTTAAGCTTCATATATTAAAGAAAAGTAGTATAATTTTTTGATTCAATATTTTTTTACCAAAAAAAAAAAGTATGGAAACCAAATCATTTTGAGAAAGAGAAACGAAAGAAAATGAAAAAGACATGGTAGACGAAGTGATTCACACGAATCGAATTATATCTCTATTCTTGGTTAGTGTCTGGTTCATATTAAACCATCTTTTATATAAAACAGAAAAAAACGCATATTCATTTATTGCAATTTTTGTTTTTTGATCACCCAATTACATAAGTTTTGCAGATATATAAAACTGATAGAAGAATCGAATAAATGCCCAATTATAGCCCTTTTAAATGTAGAAATAAGTATTTAATTGTGGATTGTTCTTTTTTTGTTCGACAATTGTGTGTGTTTGATTTTGTTGTTTCTTTTGTTATCGTGCACCAGCTGTAGAATCTTTTTTATATAAATTTTTTAATTTTTTGGTTGAAAGGAAGGAGTGTTTCGTGTGTTGTTGTTGTTGTTGTCTTCTCTTCTCCTCCTCCTCGTCGTTGATTAAAGCTAAAGCCTTCATTCATTGATTGATGCTACTTCCTTTCTCTCACTCCCACACTTTCCTCGCCGTTTCTAAACCTCCTTCAGATTATCCCCAGGTGAATCTGATTTGACTTCGATTGAATCTCAGTTCCGTTGATTCTACTCATTTTTCCTCATCTAGCTATTGCCTACTCGAATCTGCATTTGTTTAGCTTCGAAATTTAAGATTAGGAGGGTTCATACGAGATGTTGTGTTCTTAGATTGGGTTTATCATAGATTAGGGTTCATATCATCCAAATAATATTATATTTGTGACATTCCTAAAACAAAAAAAGTTTGAAGATTTGTTACCTTTAATGCAGACTTGTTTTGATTCTCTGATCTCTCTTGGTGGGCAAATGATGAGATTATAAAAGTTGGAAGAGGCTCTTATTCCAATGTCGTCCCCTTCTTTTGGTGCTATCAAGTCTTATCATCATCAAGCTCAGCATCTGGTTAACAACTATCTCCTGGCTGATCCTTTTATTCCTTACACTTCTGTTCTCACCGGCATTTTCCTTTGCAAACTGGTAAAGCTTCCCCCTTTTCTTCACCATTCTCCTATATTTACCTGCTATTGTTGTTGATTAATGATTCCTATGTTTCTTTCTTTTTTGTAGGTCTATGATCTTTGTCACTTTATCAGCAACTCACATTCTAAGACCTATATCATCCTCACCAAAATTCAGAGAATTGAATGGAACAACCGGTTTGTCTTGTTGATGATGGATTCTTAACGAATTGTTGTCCCGTTACTAATGTTTTTTCCTTGTATTTTTGGGCAGTGGTATCTCAACAGTTCATGCTGTTTTCATCTCCGCTATGTCACTCTACTTTGTCTTCTGCTCCCATCTCTTTTCAGATAGGTGGCACAATGATCTTGTCGTTTTCCGGAGCTCACGACTTTCCTCTCTTGGTTTAGGGGTAAGCATCATTTTTTTTAACTGTGACCTAAAACTAATGTAAAATCTTTTAGGGAAGAACTTTTTTGACACATACGTAAATGATTTGCAGTTATCCATTGGTTACTTCATTGCTGATCTTGCCATGATCTTCTGGAAGTATCCTGCTTTGGGTGGACTTGAGTATGTAAGTAATCGATCTTGGCAGTAAAGATAGGAATGCTAATACTAAGATAGATAATTTTACGTTTGATTTCAGATTGTGCATCACTCGCTATCAGGGGTAGCAGTTGCCTACTCCTTGTTTTCTGGGGAAGGGCAGTTGTATACCTACATGGTCCTCATTTCCGAGATTACAACCCCAGAGATCAACTTGAGATGGTACTTCCCCCTTTTTGTTTCCATGTACCATTCACCACCTTACCAATCTTTCTTCTGACAAAAAAAAAAAAAAAAAAAAGTGGACTATCTTGGGGGCTCTCTTTATGAAGGTACCTGGACACAGCTGGTATGAAGAAGTCAATGGCATATGTTGTCAACGGCGTTTTCATCTTCTTGGCTTGGCTGGTACATAGAAATTAATCAACACTCGATTCATTTTGATGCACAGCATTTAGTGTCTACTTATCACTCTTTAACACTTTTCTTTTACAGGTTGCTAGAATTCTGCTATTCATATACATGTTTTATCATGTGTATCTCCACTACAATCAGGTAAACCTCATAATCCCATTCTCGGCACTACCTGACGGCTTTGATGATAACCGATTGCATCACAATGCTGTCAAATTTCCTGGTTTGTGTATGTGACTGGATTCACTTTATTTTGGGGTATAGGTCATGAGGATGCACATCTTCGGATACGCTCTGGTATTTGGGGTACCAGCTGCGCTGGGTATAATGAACTTGATATGGTTCGAAAAGATTGTGAGAGGGGTGAAGAAAACATTAGCAAAGAGATGTGAATGCTGAGTTCCAGCTCACAATGTTTTCATCAGATCATCATCTTCTACTTTTTCCTTGTGACATGTGTCTGTTCTCTAGAGTGTATGTAGTTTTTGTCTGATGGAGAAACGAGAAGAAACAACAAATATGTTACGATCCTCTGACGTCACTGTAAATGATCAAAATTTTCAACTCTCTTTACGTTTTTCATTATACGGTGGTGTAACTCTATTTTTGTTTTAATAGTCTTCGCCCTAGTGTTTAATGTCTCATACATCAATTGTTATCAGAAGTCGATACAGTAAGTACCAAGATGAACAGTTTGGATTTTCGTTTAGTTTGAGTGAGAAAACTAGAAGAAAAACATTTGGAAACCTGTTCAAGTTTATTGTATTGATGATTTGATAAAATTCCAGTTTTATCTAAATCTCTTCTTATTGGATCTAGGATTTATCAAAATTCTTTCATATCCAACCTTATTATATCAGTCATTCATAAAAAATTCTTTAAAATCCTCCCTTACAGAAAAATGAGGATTTTCATTTGTAAAATATATCGATAATTATTGAGTATTATGAAAAACTCACCTGAATCGTCCCATCTATCCTCCTGAGGAGAAGTTTTGAAAAGTATCTTTTTTTCCCATTTGAACATTCTCGTTATTTGAGACAAAAAAAAATCAATCTTGTGATTAGTTTGTTTCTCTTATGGTTACTCCTCTTGAAACCCAATTTTAAAGAATAAGTAGATTGTGAATAAAGGAATCCACCACAGCTGAGTGTATAACCCTCTCTCTCAAACAAAACTCTTTTGATATCATGCTTCAAAATGCAAGAGGCAGAAGAATTTGAAAACAGAATCTTCAGAAGAATTGTTTTTTTTTTGTAGCCTAGTGTTGGATTATGGCGAAATTCAGGATGGTCTGCTCAACAGAGAAATTAATTGGAAAAACGACAATCGAACGTCTTCGCTTTATAGACCATTGACATTTGTTTAACTAATGTATATTAGTTAGTGGTTCTTTGTAAATTTTTCTTCTTTACTTATGGTAGTTATGAATCAGTTACACAGATTCAATAACACTTCCAACCATAAGGAGCAGATAAATGGCATAACTACATGAAACCCCCAAGTAGTGTTACCATATATTCATGCATGAGTAAAAACTCTATTGGTTGGGGAACACAATAAGAGAGTTCACATTAACGTATCCATGGCTCAAAGATCAGTTAATATTTGTTTCTTTCTGAAGCCAAATCATGCTCTATGTATATCAATACTATTAATTCTGCAGCATGACCAATTAATAAAAGTTGTGTCCAATAAAAAGATATACTATTCCTACGTCTTAATATAACTGCTTACATACAAAACTATTCCTAATAATCAGGGACCACTAAGTAAGCAAAAACTATAAAGTAAAGAAAGATAATCAAAAAAGATAGGGATGATAACACAAAACGCTACAGATGCTGATTATTTTAATATGGACCATTTTTTTTTTCTCAGTATTTATTTAACAAATAAAAACATTCTAAGAATAAAATATATTATTCTAAATTCAATTTTGAATTTTGGTTATCTACCTCTCTATCCCTAAAACATATGCACTCATATTTTGCAACTTTTGTTACCAAAAGATATTAGATAAAAATTATTCATTTCTTTTGAATTTATACCAAATTACGTTTACTAGTTTTTTATTTTTTTTAAAACAAAAATATACATTCATATCGTATCGTTGAAGGTTACAGCAACATGACCAATTGATAAAAGGTTATGTCCAATAAAACACTTATAGTAGTTTCACTTAGCTTAACGGGTTTTACATAAATTCATTTAGTTTAATGGATTTTAAATAGGTTATTCGACTAAAAATATTTATTAAGTGTGATATTAGTTTTCGGATATAAAACTTTATGAACCGTTCGAGTATATATACTAGGTCTAATAGAGTATTGAAACTTTGATTTTCGGATCGATTTCTGAAACGGGTTTTTTTTGATACAAATATTATTAACTAATTATTTTATTACAAAGAAAATATAATATGTTGCAAATTGTAAGAATAAAAATTTAATATTTAATTTCAATAGTTTTGTTTAAAATTGGATTTTTATAGGAAAATTGAGATACCAATCACTACAAATAGTTATATAGTCTAAATAAGAATTGTGATCGACATCCAATATTTCTTTCGATCATCATCCTACACACCATAACAACCATCAAAATGTTATGTTAACCAGTAATACAAGATTTAATAACAAAACTAAAAATAAAATACTAATAACAAAAACATCAAAAATGTCTCCAGCCCGTACAAATCGGTTCAACAATACCGTACAAGAATCTCTTGAAAATCTGTAAAGCTACTCTTATCATATGAAAACCAAACGCAATGGCAAAGTTATATATTAATTTAAAACTATATAGCTTTGTCATTGCTATATATTATGGAAAATGGAAAAGGATAAAGAATGAAAAAAAAGTGAAGCACGAGGGATGGAAGCTAACTCACGAGGTCTGCGTTGTCCAGATTCCGGAGGAAACACCCCCTGAAATTATTTTTTTTTTATTGAATATATGCGTTGTGAATTATCACACTCCAATAAAAAATTTTTTTTTAACATTTTGTGTGCCAATCAAATTTTTAAACAAAAAGATTCCCTAAAATTTTATATTTCAACATACATATCTTTTTAATAGTATTGATGTTTAGTTATGTGGTAAGTAAATTTCATAAACAATTTTTTTCTAATATACACATACCATACATACTCACCTCTATAACTAAAAAAAGTAAGTTTTATTTGCTGGTATATTAGTTTTGAGACGCGGTTCGTCAGACCCATTATGTGACTAGATGTATTGAGGTCCATCAGTGAATTCAACTCGACAAGAAATTAATACAACAACTGCTCTTTTTTCACAATACAATAGTTTAATTTTGAATTTTTTTTTAATACTGGTCAAATCATCGCGTATAATATATATTGTTTTACATGTGATATGATGATCAACTACATACAACATATACGAACATGATAAATAATTTTACGAACAGCGATTCCACGGTATAGCTTTATCCATAACACTTGGATCGATAGACGATTCTGCATGTCTAACATCTTCGATGGATCGCAGAAGACGACCGCAACGAATGGATTTACCTACAACACTTTGAAACCTCCAAAAAAAATTGATCTTATAATGTACAAGAAATTACACTTCTTCTAATAATCGAACCCAGATCTGATGAGGAAACTTTTAAACTTTAATCATTAGGTGATGGTGCTTCCACTAATACAAGCACTCTTACTATGAAACCATTGGGACCTAGCAAAATGTGGTCAAAAAAAGACTTTTCTATTAGTCTCACTATCATGCCTTCCAATACTATATTTGGGAGAATTTCTGAACCCACAATTGAAGATTCTAAAAACTATTTGAGTGCAGTCATCATGAAACCCCAAAATATATGTGCACAAGTCATGTTTATGGCCGTTATTATTAAACATCATCCTATATATAAATAGAAGAGGCTTCTATTTAGAAGAAAAGCGTTTTCCTACAAAAATAATATTCCATTTGAGAAGAACACAACATAATGACAGTTTCAGCCTTGTTTTTGAGAGTTCTTAATCAAACACACACTTAACCACAAATAGAAGTTGATTTTGTGGAATAGCGACCCTGAGGAGAAGCCATGGAAGCATGTGCTTCAGGCCTCTTTATTGGTGTATGACTTACTTGTTTCGTTGAGCTTCCAGTCCAAAATAGTTCAGGGCCGAACCTAGTATGGATCAATGGACGTGTGATTCTCACTTAACCTCTATACATTTCATTAATCATTAATTATTCTCGGTATAACAAACCTAATTTATGCATTTTTTAAAACCACTTAGAATGTAAAAGTCATGTACATAGCTGTTTCATTAAACATCATCCCTTATATTCAAAGGACGATGTTTTTTTCTCGAAAAAAACAATACTCCATTTGATAAGAACACTTTTTCACTCTACAGAATAAGAATTTCAACCTCATTGTTTGTATTATTATATACTAGGTTTTTCCCCTGCGCTACGCCGCAGACATTTTCATATTTTTATAAATCTAATTTTCTGTTTGAAAAATACCTATTAAAATTGATGGTGTGATATGGTATTACATTTTTTATATATTGGAAGTATACAGTTATATGAGATTCTGAAAAATAACCATTTAAACGAAACTATTTAATAAAGAATAAATATATGTGTATTTGTAATATAGTAAAATAAACCAAGATAAAATAAATTTATCGGGTTTATGACAAAAAAAAGTTCTTTGAGTCAAATCCATTATAACTTTATAAATTTATAACTGAAGGGAATTACAAAATCAATATTTATTTATCTGTTAAGAATGTTTTGAAACAGTTCCACGTTTATTTGGATATTTTCTGCCGTTTCAAACATTGTCATAATTCCATCCACATCTATGCACACTTAACCTCACAAAGCTTAGAAACTATGTTACAATAAAGAAATTCAAACTTTACACCAAAAAGTAACTTTATAAATCTGAATTAGTTTTGACATTGACCTCTTTTTAATTTTTTCATGCTAGCCTCCACACAGTTCGTAGTCATCACACTATGCTCAGGCTTGCTTTCGTTTTATTTGATGGTTTTCTTCTCCTTGTTTAATTAGTACTTAAGAATTAAAATGTGCATGTTTTGCATAAGAAAGGGAATGGAAATACCAGTTTTTGTATTGTAGATTGTTGAAGTCTCTGTAACATTCTTGATTGTTAATGTCTTTTCCATTTTTTTTTCTGTTTTCTTGTTCCCTTTGCTTTAAGGAAACTCCGGTTTTGGGTTCTACGGCCAATCATACCACTGTGGTGGATCTCATATCTAATGTTATTGCCAACAGTTTCTGTCGTGAGTACAATAGTATTATTGCAACATTGTTTGTATACAGTTTTATTGACAGTAGCATTACTGCAGCATTTCTAGTATTCAGTTTCGTTAAGTGTGCTC